CTGGGATGCCCTTCACCATCTTCCGAGGGGCTCCCTTTGCCTGTCTCCTGTGGTGGATCTGTTTGCTGCACCCTGCGTCTTCTACTTTCTTGGTTTACTCTCTGGTTTGGGTGGAGCACTTTCTCTAGGAGCTTTTTCAGAAACTGTGCATGGGAGGCAAACCTTTTGAAATCTTGTATGTCTGAAAAAATACAAATTCTAACTCCTTACTTGATCAATAGTTGGAATGCGTACAAATTCTAGATTGAAAGTAATTTTCTTCAAAATTTTGAAAGTATGGGGCCGGCCCGTGGCTCACTTGGGAGAGTGCGGTGCTGATAACACCAAGGCCACGGGTTTGAATCCCATATAGGGATGGCCGGTTGGCTCACTTGGAGAGCGTGGTGCTGACAACACCAAGTCAAGGGTAAAGATCCCCTTACCGGTCATCTTAAAAAAAAAAATTTTTGGCTCACTTGGAGAGCGTGGTGCTGACAACACCAAGTCAAGGGTAAAGATCCCCTTACCGGCCATCTTAAAAAAAAAAAAAAATTTTTGAAAGTATTACTTTTAACTTCCAATGTCGCTGTCGAGAAATTCAAATGCTTTCTGATACCTGAGTCTTTGTACACTACTTCCCCCCCCCCCTTTCTGTAAGTTTCTATACTCTTCTCTTTAATTTGCCTCAGTGTGGGTTTGTTTTCATCCACAGTGCTGGGGTCTTAGTGGACCCATCCTTGTGATCTGGCAACTCATGTGCTTCTGCTCTGGAAAAATCCCTTGAATTAGTTAATTGATGATTTCCTCCCTTCCATTTTCCTCTTATTTTTTTTGTCTTTTAAAACTTCTATTATTTTGATGTTGAACTCCTGGAATTGTCCTTTAATGTTATCTTTTCTCTCCTGTGTTTTATGTCTCTTAGTGTTTGCTTTACTTCCTAGGGAGACTTAATCAACTTTATCTTCCAGTCTTTCTGTTGAAGTTTTTGTCTCTGCTGTCATGATTTTATTTTTCAGCACATCATTTTTGCTGTTGCTGTTCTCTCAATGTTCCTTTGTATAGCATTTTATTCCTGTTTCATGGATGCAATATCTTCTCATCTCTCTGAGGGTATTGTTTTGTTCTTTGTTTGGTCTTGTTCGGTGGCTGGCTGGTACAGGGATCAAACCGTGGACCTTGGTGTTATCAGTACCATGCTCTAACTAACCAGCTGAGCTGACTGGGTAGCCCCTCTCTCTGAAGATGTTAACGACGGTCTTTTTGACACCTTCTTCTCTTTGCGTGACCTGTTCCCTCCAAGTTACTTTCTCTGGTTGTTTTGTCTTCCTCTTCTGTGTTAGAAAATTTCCCAGATGTCTGGTAATCTTTGGTCATGATGAAGGTTGAGAGATGGGGATGGCAGGCTGCTGAGAAACTCTGAGTTCACAGGTTGGGTTTGCTGCTGTAGAGTGATCCAGCAAGGATACTTTTGAGAACCCCTTGTCATTATCTTTAGATCTTCCTTCCTGAGCTGGTGAAATGCCCCAGGGTAGAATCTTCCAGTCTCCAGCATTGACAGCAAAGGTCCTGCTCCCACCCCTTCGGGAGCCCAGTTGTAGAAGGCTCAGGGTCTCGCATTCAGCATTCCATGTGACATCGTCACTTAATCCCCTTTCTTTCAGCATTACAGTGTAGTATCTCTGTTCACATCTGTGCCTGAAGCTTCCCCTAGGTCAGATACCTTCTCTTACCCTCCTCAGAGGAAAATCCTCTGGCTGGGATATGGGAGGGACTGTTGCCCAGAGGTTTGGAGTCAGGGAAGATATCTAGAGATCTAACTTCAGTTCATCCCAGTCCTTACTTTAGCAACCTCTGCCACAATTCCAGAGGTACCTTGGACTGCCAGTTTCTGTGCCTTCTGAGAACCTTGCAATGTAAATCAAGTTAGCTCTCAGTTCTCCCGCTGCCAGTTTGAGACCTCTTTTTCCTTGGGGCTAACTCAGTAACTGCATGACTGCCTGCTATCCTGGCTCAAAAATTATGTTGCTGTTGTCTCCTTTCCTGATCTTACCATCCTTGCAGTTTATCTGTTGATTTTAAAATCTCTTTACTGGAGTATTAGTGGGGCTTGGGGAGGGAGTGAAATTAGATGTATGCATTCAATCACCATCTTAACCCAAAACCCTAATTTCCCTTTTCAATATGTTTTTAAAAATATAATTTCTAGGAAAAACCCTACTTGGTCATAGAGGATTGCTATTTTAATGTACTGGGGTTTATTTATTTCTGTCTTTCCATGTAGAAGTCTTTAAGTGAATGTAATTAGCAGGAAATGGGCCTTTCTATGAAGAGGATTCAAAGAAAATGTCTCCAGTGGGATAACTTTTATTAAAAATATGAGAAAAAACCAGAGGCTGAATCTCAGTATGCAACCTTCAGGCAGCCCCTGATGGACTGGGAGGGTGGGTAGAGGGAAGACCCTATAGTAACCCCTGAGGATGCATCCAGGGAACACCCTTTGCAATGTTTTGTTTAGAGACCCAGAAAAAATCCCAGACATCATCACTGATAACCCTGAGATGAGCTCAGTTGGTGGCCTATTTCTGATCTTTTGTCAATTAGGGGGATTCTGTGATAAGGAAGTGGGTCCTGGATGCCTTTCTGAAATGCAATTCATTGTCCATATGAGCCCCAGAATCATTCACTCATTATTCACATATCAAATAGTAATTGAGCATCTACCATGGGCAAAGTGCTATGCGAGCTCTCCATAACTGAGGCACAACCCATCCTAGGTAACTCTTTAAGCACCCCCCCCACACACACACCTTTAAGAACAGAAAAGAGGAGTATAGATGGAAAAGAGGCTCAGAGTGACATCCAGGGCTGTAACATGGTGACAATAATTTTTCTGTCTCTGTGGCTTGTGATGAGGAATAAGTGAGGAGATTCTTATAAAGCAGCCACCATGGTGCTCAGCACACAGTAGGATGGATGTCTGGATTTTGAGGGAAAGCTTTACATGGTGCAAGGAGCCTCAGGTGTTTTATATTCTCCTGATACGTTTAAATACTAGAATTTTTGGAAGAAAACATGAAGGGATTTAGAGACTCAAAATAACATAAACGAGTCAGTACTACTGAAATCAGTCACTGCTCCAGCACTAACAGGGTCCACGAAGCATCAGTATCCGGAGGGACCGCTCTGTTTTCTTGGTCCTCTTCAACACCGCGTCAGCCTTTGCCTGGGCTCTTATTCGGTGAGGCCGCACACCCCCCTTTGGTTTTACCGTATTCCTCTCCCCTCCTAGTGGAAACAAGTTGCAGTCCACCTCTCACAAGCAGCTAAGCCCACCGCTTTCTGGCAGTCATTTCCGAAACTCTGTGAATTTTTGAAAGATCAAGCAAAAAGAAGTGTTACACAGCAGTTGACACTTGGCAGTTCACCTGTGAAGTGTTGGCGGCACTCCTGTGGAGCGGTTACAACTGTTGAACACCACCACGTGGGAGAGAGGGCAGGACCGGAGGCCGGGCTCAAGTCTCTGCTGAGCCGTGCAATCTCGGGCACCTTTGGTCATTTCCCGAGTCTTCATCTGCCTGTCTGTAGAATGGGGATACGCAGAGGGTGTGGCAAGGACTAATGAGGTGCTGGGGTCGGTGTCCCCATCTCGAGGCGGGGCTAGGGGCGCGACGGAGAGAGCGGGCGAGACATCTCGGAGCGTTGCCCAGCTGGGCGCCGGGGCCGCCGCGGCCGCCCCATCTCGGGGGACGTGGCCGCGGAGACCCGCCTGCGGAAGGGAGCGACAGGAGCAGGTCGGCCGGCCCGGCCCGGGGAAGCGGCGCGCTCGTGTGCAGGGGTGCCTGCGAGGGCTGGGGGTGTGTAGGGGCGTGGGAGGAATGACCGTGTGTGACGCGTGTCTGTACGGGCCGTGTGGATGTGTGTATAGGGGTGTGTGCCTCTCTGTATATGCCGTGTGTGTGCTGGAGGCTGGGAGCTCGGAGCTGGGGTCTGAACCCATGGAGGAGGGAGGGGCTCACCGGGAGGGAATGTGCGTGTGCGTGTGTGTGCAGGGGTGTGTGAAGGGTGAGTGGACGAGTGTGTCACAGTGCTAGGTGCGGCTGTGTGTGTGATGTAAGGGTGCCGGGTGCACGTGTGTTCCTGGCTCACCCGCCCTTCCCCCACCAGATGTGAGCATGCAGGGGAGAGTTCTGGGGAGGGGTAGAAGTCAGCTGCAGCTGCCCCTTGCCCAGCTTGCCTGCCTGGCCTTCTCCCCCAGGGAGCCAGAGATGGCCAAGCGGCCCCTCCCCCAAAGACTTCTAGGGCCAAGCCCCAGGAAAGAGGGAAAGGGTGGAAGAGAGGGAGCTTCTGCCAGACTAGGCACCCTGCTTCTCTGGTCAGAGACAGGGCGGCCTTCTCCGAATCTGCCAGATCACTCAGGCCTGGGATTTGCCCCTCCCAGGGGCCCTGTGCTCTGGAGGTCTGAGAGAGACAGGGCCAGCAATTCAGACTGGGGCCGGGGCTGGGGGTGGGAATAGGTTTACAGTCATCTGGGAGGGTTTGCTTGTTCACAGCCCTATTACCAGAAGGGTGCCTGGCACATAGTAGGCCTCAAGTCAATATCTGAGGGAGGAAGGAAAGCTAAGCAGAAGAGAGGGAAGGAAGGAGGGAGAAATCTGAGTCTGGGAGTTCAAGTCTATTCCCTCTGCTATCAGTTAAAGGACAAGAGCCACTGGTTGCTGTCAGACCCAAGTCCCCTGGTGAGCGGGTGGGGAGAAGAAACTGCAGAGGAGAGGTTGGTGCTGGGGCCTGAAGGCATGAGAAGGACCTGACCAGAAGAGCCATCAGAAGTCTCTCTCCTTGGGTGGAACACTTCATTTCCTGCCCCACCACCTGTGATCAGAAGCCTCTCCCTGGGGCATCTGATCCTGGGTGGCAGCAGCCAGGGCTCATAGGGCCTCTCCTCTCTCCAGGACCTTCGTGTTCAAAAGGTGCTGAAGAACTGAGCCCCTGCTCACCAAGGCTGCCTGAGGCCAGGTGGGGCCATGGCAGGCCGTGGCTGTCTGGGGCTGGGGCTGTTCTGCTGGGTCCTGCTCACTGTTCCTGTGGACCCCCAGCCTACCTCCTCCATCCCAGGTGCCTCTCTCACCACTTTGACCCCGCCACCTCAGAGTGAGGCTTCCATGCTGTCTCTCAACCTGGGACTTAACTTCAAATTCCATCTTCGGGGACCTGCTGCTGCCTGGGGGAGCCCTGTCACAGAGACCCAATCTCTCTCTCCTGGGCCAGGCCAGGAGCCAGGGGAAGAGGTGGCCAGTGGGCTGAGGACTGACCCTCTTTGGGAATTGCTGGTGGGCTACCCCGGGAGCTCTCCCCCAGAGTGGGGCTCCGCCGAAGGCAGCTCTTTGCCTTGGGCCTCCTCCCTGCCTCTGGAGTCCACATCCCCCCTCTCTGGGCCCACAAACCGGCCCACTGTTCCCTATCAGCCCAGGATGGGCACTGTGACCTGGGACACTGCTCTGACGGCAACAGCACCTCCATCCAGAGCTCCCAGGCCCCACCAGAGCGAGCTGGAGCTGAAGTTTGATATGGCACACCTGGGACACTGCTCTGACGGCAACAGCACCTCCATCCAGAGCTCCCAGGCCCCACCAGAGTGAGCTGGAGCTGAAGTTTGATATGGCACTGAGAGCAGGTGCAGCCCCCACACTTGGGCATCGAACACTGCCCCTGCTGCCCAGCCTGCGGGCCAGCCTGGCAGAGATTGCTGGGCGCCTGGGACCCTTTGGTAAGTATGCATCCCTTCTCAAGGAGAGCCCCTCCTAGGCACCCCTGGCAGATAGGAGGCAGCTTCAGCCTGGGCTCCTTTTGCAGGGTTCTTTGGCACTACTCTGTCTCCACTCCGGAACTTCTCAGGCCCCAGGCCCCCAGCTGCAACTGCATCCCCAAGCTCTGCCTCTGGAGTGTCAGGTTCTCCAGGTGAGTGTTTTCATTGCAACAAATATTGTGGAACACTCTACATGCCAGGCACTGTGCTAGGGGCCTAACTGGCACCTCCCTTTCTTTCTCAGCTCAGGGGAGGCCTGTATTGCTTGTTCCGGGCCCTAGGACCTGGGCTACTCTCCCGTGGGGAAGCATTGTCTTTGTCATACTGAGTCTGGTTTGGTCCTTGTAGCTTAGCTCATGGTGTACATAAGCTAAGCATGTGGCTGCAATTCCTAAGACAGTGGCTTCCTTAGGGCAAGCTCTAGGGAAGGACAGGATTTTCTCCAAAGCCCCAGAGGCCAAGGCTGGCTGGTAGGATGGTACTTGAGCCCTATGTGCTCCCTTTGCAGGGTTTTTTGGTACCACTCTGTCCCCATCTCCATCCCCCTGGGAGAGGAAGCTCTCAAGCCCAAGCCCACTGGACCTAGCTTCTTCCCTAAGCTCTGCCGCAATGGCAACAGCATCACTAGGTAAGTGTCCAATTCATTTTGAACTTGACAATTATTTACTGAGCACTTACTACCTACTAGCTACTCATCAGTATTCTGGGACCCTTTTGTTTCATTGTTGTCATAATCATAATCACCATTCTCTTTATCATCAACCATGGAGATATACAGAATGATCTGAGAACAAGTGTTGCTGGGGAAGTTCCCACACAGAGTTAAATAATGGTCCTCTGAAGGTTTTGCAATCATAGGCAGAGCAGGATGAAGACAGATGTATCGGGAGCAAACAGACACAGGAACTCCTCCGTGATTTTCACAGCCTGGGCACTAACCCCACCCTCCACTCCAGACGGTCTGGCCTCCCTCCATCCTGTGCATCCCCCACCCCCCATCCTGCTAACCTTCGGGCTCTTTCTTTTGCTGTCTGATCTGACCTGACATGCTGTCAAATGTGGGCAGTGCTGGGCCTCTCATTGATAAGACGTTGAAGAGGGGACCTTGAGCAGACAGATGACACCTTCATTTAAGGGAGCCTTTTAGAACATGCACATAGACAAGCTGGTGGTGCAGAGGAAAGACCACAGACTCTGGAATCTTGAGACCTCGTTTTGAATTCCAGTTCACTTACTTGATGGGTGACTTTGGGCAGGTTACTCAACCTCTCTGAGCCTACATTTACTCATATGTCTAGGGTTTAATAACAGTAGTTATTTTGCCAAGTTATTGTAATGCTTCTACATAATGAAAGCTCTTGATAGGACATTGGGTACAAAGTAAAAGCTCATTAAATAGTAGCTATTGACCTTGCTTCTTTCCCCATCTGCACTCTAAATACACTTCCAGATCCTACCTCTCAGACACCCTAACTCTGGCTGCAAGCTTTGGTGGAACAACACATAAGCCACACGGCACAGGGCATAGGTACTCAGGAGAGGTTCTGGTAGATGAGGCCAAGGGAGCCATGGAGAGGGCCTTCTAGTCCCAGATCTGCTCTGCAAAGGGTTTGCTGTGGCTGTGAAGCCTCCCAGCCACCCCACACGAAGCTCAGCAGTGGAAACCACTGGTATCCCCGGTTTTTCCAGCTCCAGACTTAACATAGCACCTTTCTCTCTGGCTCACTCTAGCTTGGTCCCTGCACTCCCTCCGCAGGTGGGTGAGGAGGCTGCCATCCCCCCTGTCCAGCCCTGTGTGCAGCAGTGGCTGGGTCTGCTGTGGGATGGGGGGCAGGCTCTGTGCCTCAGGGGAAGGATGCTGGCTGGCAGTCTGTCGGCCTTGGTGACAGCGCTGGTCAGGCAGGTTTAATGAGTCTGGACAGTATCAGAAGCAGCCCAGCTCAGCAGGCTGGCAGTCCCATCTCATTTCCCCTCCTCACTGGTGGCTGCAGGAGCTCAGCCTCTCCCTGGCTGCTCCTCTTGGATAAAACCAGGAGGACTACAGGCCTTGAAGTCAAGAGAAGGCCAATAGGCCTTGCTCATGCAAGCAGCGTGTGTGTATGTGTGCACACGCGTGTGTGTAGTAGTGTTGAGCAGTTACTGGACAAAGGGGGTCTCTCTGTATCCTCTATAGGATCTTTCTAACCTAGGTGCAATCAGCCCGTGACTCTTAGGGTTTCCTTGCATTGGGTCTCCTTCACCTTGGAACAGTTGTACAAGTCATAACATACTGAAGAACTTTCATGCAAGTTGTTAGGTATCCACTGCCCTTAGTCCCCTCAGTATTCCCCTCCATTCCTTGACCACCCTGGCTGTGTCTGTTCTGATTGGCTGGCACCTGCACCATCCCAGTTTTTAGATATTTTGAGTGTCACTCCTACAAAGAGTATCAGTCCTCCATGATCCTGGAGGTAGGGGTGGGGAGAGGAATGGGGCCAGGCCATGAAGCAGGCTGCAGCTTCCAGCATCCAGAGTGGAGATGCGATTCCCCAGCCCTTTGATCTGGGCAGCTGGTGGATAATCAGGCCTGACTTTTCCATGAATTGAGCTGGCCCCTCCCCAGCAAGCTCCTGCCTCACTAATTACTCATATTGACATCCCATCTCCTCACTTGCCCCTGAGGTCAAGAGGGGCCAGAGGACCAGAGTGGGACCTCCCTGTAGGGGAGGCCTGCTCAGGAGATGGATCCTGGGAAGGGAGGACCAGAAGATCACTGTTGTCTGGACTGTTCTGGCAGAAACTGAAGGTCCTTTCTGGGGAAGCCTTGAATGTGGAAGTAGGAGATGAGGTCAAGTGGACCCTTCCAAGGCAGAAGCTGGGTTTTCTTTTGCTTGTTCCCACCCACACTTGGCCCATTGCAGACCACACCAGGCATGCTTTGCCCCCTGGAATCAGTGCTGCTAATTCAGAACTCTCTCTCTCTCTGACACTTGAGCTGCCTCTGTACTTTGCCTATTTTCTGGTTTTTATTCCTTTTCTGGGTTCTTATGAATGTTGAAATTTGCTGTAGTTGCCATAGTGCTTTGGGCCAGGGTTTCCTGTGGTGCACGGATGAGAAGTGGAGATGGAAGAGGGGGATGTGGAGCTGACCTCTGAGAGCTGCACTTGTCTGTACAGTGAAGGGGGGGAGGGGCGAGGGGACACGTGACAGGCTGGGACAGATTGTGGGCTCCTGGGCAGGGTCTTTCTGCCCTTCTGCAGATCCCATAAAGGCCAAAGAAAGACCAAGCAAACTCATTAATTTTGCAGAAGAACTGGGTTGGACAAGGTCATCTGAGGGGACCAAAGAGTGCGGGGTGAGGGAGTGTGAGTATTTAATCCCAGACTGATGCCCACCCCTGCTCATCAAGCTGTCCATTCCTAACCGAATGGTTTCTCATTTAACTGATGGCTGATGTCTTCATTAGTGTTTAGGGGTTAGGCTAGCAGAATGGTGTTCTTTCCACCCCTGCTCATCAAGCTGTCCATTCCTAACCGAATGGTTTCTCATTTAACTGATGGCTGGTGTCTTCATTAGTGTTTAGGGGTTAGGCTAGCAGAATGGTGTTCTTTAGAGTTCATAAGGTGAGACTGTGTTGATGTTCACTTGTTTGACTAATTGTCTTTCTAAGCAAGTTTGGGATGCTAAGGGCTTTTAACACAGACAACAGCCTTTAGTTAGTTAAATCAAGAACTAGTTTGAGGCCAGAAGTGGCCACACTTACACAGACACGAACTGATGATTGATCAGTCTTGAACATTTGCCAACAATAATGACAATGACAACCATCATATTGAATGATTATTATGCACTAGGCACTCCAAAGAGTCTTACATACATCGTCTCATTTATCCTTGTAACAGTCCTGTGCAGTAGATACTCCTACCTATTTCAGATTTCAGGAATGTGATGCAACGGGCATCAGGGTGCGTGCTGCCATTTCCAGTTGGCAGCGAGCAGTGTATATTTAATTTTTTGGCTGCTCCCTTTGAGCCATCCCCAGTTGCACAATTCCATCGTCCTCTCCAGAGCCACCTTCTGGACCCCTCACTCCTTCTCTTTATTCTCAGAACTGCTGTGTTTTGCATGTCCCCAGCATGAGATGGCACTGCTGGGGTTGAGGGTGCACCTGAAGTTTTCCTGTGTGTTGTCTGGTTGGGGTATGGCCAGGGCATGGCCAGGCAATTGGGGCAGGAGTCTGTTCGTCAGGAGCCTTCCCCGCCTCATTCTACATCTGTCTGTCTACTTCCCCATCCCCATAGGCTGTCCCTATTTGTCATCATCACTCTTACTTCCTCCAGCCTTGCCTGTAGCTGCAATCCTGCTGAGCCTGCTAAGTGGGGATAGGGATAGGTTCAGCTTCCAGCATCTTCCCTTGCTGCCTGGCCACAGGGAGAATCCTCGGGTCTAACTCTTCCTAACTCTTTTTTTGCTCCGGGAGAGTAGAATCAGGGATCTTATGCCTTACCCTCTCTTAGCTGATTTCCTTTTCCCCAAGGGATGTGGGAAGATGTTGGAGCACAGGATGGGGTCAGGGGCCTGAGTTAGCAAACCCCAGAGCTCCTGAGGGGCTCACTTACTCAGATGGCATTTTGTCCCACTATGATCTTTCCATTTGTTCCTTTCTGGGAGTTCAAGGACAGCCTCTAAGACCCAAGGGAGTCCATCTCAATGTCATCTGTAAAATGGGGGGAGAACCAACGGGTCATCTCTATTAAGAGCCTTGGACCAATGGCTTTATGATTGAGTCAGGATGGGGGTTACAGCCATGAGTAGGTGAGGACTGGGGTGTAGCTGGCAGGAAGGCCAGTGGAAAAGGAGAAATGGTGTTCCCCTCAGAGTGCTGGGGACAGGAGTGTCATACCCCTCCCCCTGCTCTGTGAGTGTGTGTGTGTGCGTGTGTGTGTGTGTGTGTGTGTGTGTGTGTGTGTGTGGTATGTGTAGGGGGAAGCAGTTGAAAAAGGGCAGGGGAAGTTTCTTCAAGCACCAAGGTGGGGGTAGGGAGTCAGGGTGCAGAACAAGAGATAAGCAAACCAGTATTATGAAAAGAATTTGGAATAGTGGAAAGGGGCTCAGATTGATGCTGAGATTTGGATTCTGGTTACAGCTCTGCCTATGTGTAACCATGGACAAGTCACTTTACCTCTCAGCAGAGCCTCACTATCTTTATCTGACAAATAAGAAGATTCATTTATTCAGTTAATATCTGCTCAATGCCAACTATGTGCCAGAAACCATTTTAGGCATGGAGATTCAGAAATGAGCAAAGCAAACAAAAATCCTTGTCTTCATAAAGCTTCCTTTCTGGTGGGGAGATTGGACTGGAGGGGGCCTCTACAGTTCCTTCCAGTTGTAAAGTTCTATGACTTAAGAAAAACCCTTTTCAGTAGGAGCTGGGGGGTGGAGGAAAAAGGGTCGGGAGGGGGAAGAGGGAAAAGGATGAGAGTGGAAACTTCACTAGGAAGAGTTTGAATGGGGGAGGGGAAGAGGTCAGGCCGAGAGGTCGGGTGAGTCTCATATGTAAGACAGGTGCGTCTTGGATGCTTTGGCAGACTCTCTGACTGGCATTCAGGCTACTGCTGTGAGGAGGGCAGGGGAAAGGCTGCACAATTGCTTCAGTCAAATGTTCTTTGCCCACAGACCCCACCATCCCCACCTCTGGCCCAGATGGCCTCTCTCCTGCCAGCTTTGGGAACCCTTCGGTGCAGCCAGAGTGTGGGACAGAGTCCTGCAGAATGGGAGAATTGCCTGAACACGAGGGGCAGCCTCCTGCAGCCCCATTGCCCCTCTTCTTCCTCACCTTGGAGGCCGACTGGGCAGAGGCCAGGGCTCGCTGGGGGCTGGCCTGGGAAGCCCACGTGTACGGGGTAGGCGCGCTCTTTGGCCTGGTGGCCCTGCTGGCGCTGCTGGCTCTGGCCCTCTTGCCCTGGCGCTGCCCTCCCAGCGCCCCCTGCCTGGCGCTGCTGGACCTGCTGCTGCTCTCAGCCGGGACCACGCGAGCCTTCCCACTCTTCTACGATGCCTACGGGCACCGCGACCGGCTGCCCGCGCTCGCCTGGCTGCTGCTGCA